TCGGGGCTCCGGCCTGCGCGCGTCGCTCTGCCCTTCCTCGTGCACAGATGTTGTAGCGGGTGCCCATGAGCGAAGCTCTTCTGGTGGGTCTGGGGACACGGGACGCCCCGCTCTCCCCTTGGGTCTGCCCGGTGCCACCCGGAGGTGCTGCCCTGGGTTCTGTGCCTGCCCTGGGTTCTGTGCCTGCCCTGGGTTCTGTGCCTGCCCTGGGTTCTGTGCCCGCAGCACCGCTTGCCGTGGGGCCGCGAGTCGAGCACAGCCGGCGCTCAGCCCCTCGCTGTCGGTTTAACCAAGCCTGCCCGTCCTGGGCACTGTGATTTAATATTCTTGCTCTCAACTTCATAAGCGGGCCTGATGTTTCCTTTGGTTCCCCACCAACTTCCGTTCTTCTTCCTTGCATCTGTCTTGCCTATCGGTGTGAAAGGCTTCTTCAGATAAGCACTTCAATGTAGAGAATGCTCTGTTCCATTGAAAACATGATAATCTATTTTTTTTTTTCCCCTCTATGCATAGGTTAGGTTGTTTTGCATAAACCCCTTGGCTCTGCCAGGAGCTGTGGCAATGCTGTTGGCATTGCTAGTGAAACTTGGCCTCTCTCTGTGCAGATTATTCTAATGGCCCTTATATTATTTTTTTCTTTCCCTTGATAAAGCCTCCGCAGACTAATTTTTCCAAGTCTCCAATATCTGTATGCAGATCCTGACAGTCAGGTTTTGGTCAGACATCGCTGCAGTCTCTGATCTTTTCCCACTCGCTGATAAACCATGTTTCCCAAAACTGGCAAGTTGTAATTACCAGCTCCAGGCTGCTGCGCTGTTAATTCTTGGACCACTTAACGTATCAAATTATTCCTTCCTGTGCTATTTATACACAAAGGGCTAAGTTACAGTAATGACATTAAAATTAAATTCTCCAAAACTAATAGGAGACTCTTATTTATTATTTTGGCAGCCTGCATATCCAGGGAATTCTGTGCTGCTGAAGCTGAAGACTAATGGAGACGGGCCTCCTAGCACATTAATAATGGGTTGCTGCTAAATTTCCTAGTTAGCCTGTTTACCAGTTAACAGTCATGTGGCTGTAACTATTTCAGCTGTCTGCTGCTTCTTTGGAGGCTTAGTCTATGGTAAGCGTGATTAAAATCCTTTGTATTACTCAATGTAACGGAGCTGAATCGCTGCGAGGGATCTGCTGGAGGAGCTTAACAAAAGGCTTAATGTAGACGTGACTCCGCGGGCTGTGCTGCGTCTCCAGGCCCTCGGAAAGCTCCTTGCGGCGTCAGGGATGTGGCCCTGGCTGTGACGGGAGCTTCTGCACAGCCCCAGCAGCATCACGGGTTGGTTTGTGGCGCGTTGGTCACAACGAGCACCCTTAGGGCAAGGACTTGTGGCATCGCAGAGGTGCTGCAGCCTTTCCTGGTGGGGCTGCAGAGGGAGGCAGCACCTTCTGCTCCGTCTGATACAGCCCTTGAGAGGCTGTTTGCATCTCCCTGACCTAGTACTCGGGCTGGCTGTGCAAGGCGCTCTAGAAAGCAGTTTTGGGCATGGTAGGTCCTTGCAAACTATGCTGCAGGAGGGAAAGCCTTCAGCAAAACGGATATAAGGCACAAACAGCCCCTAGGCCCTTCTGCTGGATCGAAGGGCTAAAGAATAGAGAATAATGCTAAATATGGCAGGAAACCCCTAAATCTTAGTGCAAAGGAAGACGCGCGTCTTCCTCAGGAAAGCCTGGAGCTGTGCCAGGAGTCGATAGCATCCGCACGTGGCGCTCCGGCGGCCGGGACCGCGTGAACCACCTGGCCACCCTTCCTGTGTCCTGTGCTCGTCCCCTCGGCCACCCCCTGCGCCGTGTGGGGACACAGCGGACACCCCTTGCCATGGTGGCCACCCCTCACCACAGCGATGCCACCGGGAAAGCTCCTTTCCGCACCCACAATGAGCACGGGGCTCTTCCCTCCCCATGCCGGTACTAGCGCGAATCATCTCCGAGCTTCTCCTGCTAAACCTCCGAGTTGGAAATTACTTGGCTGCTTCCTCTAGCACCTCTTATCCAAGTGAAATTAATTTTCTGTGAGTCAGCTGTTTTGTAGTTAGAAGTGCTCCTAAAATACCCACTGAGAGATGACTACAGGAAGCCTTCAGCTCTCGCTGAGGAGGGACCCACTCCAACCACTCTTCACCTTCGTGGCCGGAGTGGGTCCCTCCCTCTGGAGCTCTCCAACTGCGGATGGGACGAGGCTCCTGGTGGTTCCTGGGCTCGTGAGCGTCCGGCCGGAGGGAGGGCCTGTCCTGGAGCCGGTGGGTCCGTGTGTGGCAGTGCAGCGGGGTGGCCCGTGTGCCGCGGAGGAGGCGCTCCCAGCCCTCCCCAGGCAAACGCGGTCCTGGCCTGGGGTCTGAGCATCTTCAGGGCTGGGGAGCCCCCCACAGCTGGGGCCGCCTGCATCGCGCTTGGCAAAGCAGCCGCGTTTCAGGTTTTTGAAGCAGAAGCTGGGGATGCAGGGGATGTTTGGGCCCGGCTTGGCCGCCCTGCACCCAGCTCCAGTGGGCTCCTCTATGCGTTGCGTGGGGGAGAAGTGAAATACTTTAATTCTGGACCATATGGCCATGGGAGCTGCTTTCCTTTTAGCACCTGGCGCGTTGGCAGTGCCGCTCTTCGCAGGTATCCCCTGAGCTGCTTTGCTGAAGGGATTAACATGCAGCATGCTGGGCAGACCCTCTGCCCCTCACGCTGGGCGGATGCTGGTTTGTCCCTGCCGCTCCTTCTTGCTTCAGCAGACCCAGCCCTGCTTTGCCCAGCCCAGCGAAGGCTGCAGGGTTCGTTCAGCCTCATGCCTTGCTGCAGCAGTTTGGGGTGGCAGCCGGCCCGCAGCGCTCCCTGCTCTGTCCCCAGCCCGGCGCTGACGAGCGTCCTTCCCCTGCCCTCCGGTTGCCCCGCTCCAGCAGGGAGAGGAGCCGGGTGCTCCTCCTCACGCTTAGCTCCTTGGCTTTCTGGAAAGGGAAGTGAAGTCACTGTTTTCTCCTCGATTTCGTGATGGGGGTGGCTGAGTTGAAGCTCTGCCTCACGAGTCCTGGCTCCTGGTACTGTTGGTGGGAGCTCGGGGCAGGCTGCTCTCCCAAGCCTCTCCGTAGGACTCTGCTGCTCCAGGGCAGCCGTGCAGGCTGCGGAGTTAACGCGGGAGCCGCCGGCGAGCTCCGTGCTCACCCCGCGGCAGCGCGGAGCTGCTCCTCCGCTGTCCCGCACCTCCCGTTCCAACCCACAAGTATGTGCCAGCCCCATGGCTTATTCACCACTAAACCCTAAATAACTCATTTCCTCTAATGCTTTCCTTTTTAAAGGGACTCTCATTTCCCTAAATCTCGCCTTGCAGTCGGGGCTGGCACAAGCCCAGTCCACGGGCCGGGCACCTCCTGTGAGCACGGCAGGGTCTCGGGCCGCGCGCGAGGCTGCGTGTGCAGAGTCTGTAACGATGTTAAGGTGGTGGTGCCTTAAAGTGTCCTTGGCGGTTGTCCCTCGGGGTCTGCTATGGTGAAGTCCCCTTCTTTCTGCCCCAGCACAGGCCTTGCTGTGCGTGCCTAGAGGCGCTACAGAAGCATCTTGCCAAAAAACTGCACAAGAGCGCGTGTTTACTCTGTAGTGGTCATGAAACCATCCAATAATGAGTCCTTGTTACATAGGTACTCCCAGAATAAGGCAGATGAATGAAGTGAATTTAGGTAGAGCTTTGGGCACAGCAGCTCCTGCTTATTGCTGTGCTGTTGTAATAAATTACTTGAATAAAGCCTAACTGGGCTGGGAAAGCTGCTTCAGCTGAAAAATTTGGGGCAAATTAATCCTTGTGGATGACTCTGCATTTGCATTACACGCTCCTATGACTGCTGCTGCTGTCACTGCCACAAGATGAGTGGGAGGAGGTGGACTGGAAATATACATTTAAACTGGCATTTGAAGCAATTTAGTTGCCAAGCACTTATTGTGCCTTGTTTCAATATTCTTGCACAGTTCAACACCTTGAGCTGCTCAAGCTCTCTGTCATCAAGACGTGCCTTCAGCCAGCCTGCATGGAGCCCTGGCTCCGGGCTCTGGAATGACAAGCTGTAGGTGAAATGATGGAAGTAGTTATTAATCTTCTGTGTTATCTGGGCTTGAGGATAGCGGTTTTGAATTGCTTGATGTTGGTGGCTTGTTCATCTGGACGTTGATGCTGAGAGAGCAGAACAGGCACAAGGAAAAATATTCTTGCATGGTGCACTGAAAAATCTATTAGGTGATTCCTGAACGCAGCTCTAAGACCTGCTCTGCATGGGCATGACTAATGACTCCCGCACTTATGTGCCCCTTCAAATATTTGCTTAAGGTGGGGGGGTGGAAAAGCTGTGATTGGGAAATGCAACTCGACAACCTTTCCAGACATTGACTTGAATTCTGTTGTATAAAAGGAAATAAAACTGGACTCTGTTTGTCAAGTAGGTAGTGCTTATGCAACGACCTTGCTCTGTGATACTGGTACAATGTCCAGGATGCCCTATCTAATCTGGGCTTGTGATGACTTCAACAGTGAGTTTTAGCTCCCTGGCACCGGCAACCACCATGTCAGGCTATTACAGGTTTGTGATATGCCTGGTATGGGGAACCAGCAACAAACTATTGATTTCCCAAGCTGGAGGAGGGCATTTCCTCAGTTACTGCCCTCCCACACAGAGGGTCTCTGTCCATCCCTTGTCTTTTCAGCCTGCCTGGCGTCTTTCTTGTAGCCCGTTTTGATTTTGGTTTACTTATCAGTATTGGATTAGCCTTCTAGCCTTTCTTTCCTTCTTTTCCAACTTCAACTCTTCATTGCATCTGATATTTGAGTCCAATGAGGACAGAGTTACGGTGCAGCCTGGTACAAAAGGGGGTAGAGGCGCCGGGGCCGCGGGTGAGTGTCCCGCACAGGGACGGGGCTGCTGACGTCGCCGGGGTTGTGTCCGACCTTGTTTGCGTTGGGGCTGCTCCTGGCGAGCATGTATGTCGGCTTAGCTGAAACTAGAGCAGGTGGAGCCAGAGCAGTGACATGATGTAGCGGTCGATGGAAAATGTGCGATAGTGAGAAAAACGGCCGGGGTCACTGGCCAGAAGGGCTGTGCCTTGAGGGTGACTCGGGCAAAATGCTCCCTGTGGCCTGGCTGGAATGGGAAGGGGTTTTGCTGGAAGCACAAGCAAGGAGGCTATTGCTTAAAGGCTGCCTTTACCCTCTCTCCCCTCCTGCTAAACATACCCAATGGCTCTTGATTGCCAAGGTGGCCATGCAGGGGACAGCACACAGGCTGTCATTGCGGTCTGGTCCACGTTGGCTGGCACAAAATAAATGTTTCATCAGTATTGCCAGCGCATGAGAACATGGACAGGCAAAGCGGGTGATCTGGGTAAGTGTTAGAGCTCCTTAGGTTCAGAGTTGTGAAAACACAGTGCGACTTTTCCCCTAGAAGAGAGTTTAACCAGAGGAAGCGCCAGAATCCTCGGGGCTGAGGTGTTTGAATGTCAGGGGACAGCTTGAAAGGCAAAACTGGGCAAGGCTGGAAGGCCCTCGCTTTAACCACTGAGCTAGCCAAACAGTGACTCGTGTTGATCTAAGGAGAGGTCAAAGATTGTGAAAACGAAATTGTTCTTATCTCAGGTGATGCTTCCCTGTGGTCTGGGAAGGGATTTTCTCATCCAGTTGTGTGATTGAGTTTATTCATCTAATGATACCATCTAATTAGACGTTGGTGCTTGCGCAGCAAGAGGTAGTGCTGTTTAACCTCTCATGCTGAATTACAGCTGTTAGCAACAGCCATATGCGTTCCTCTTGTTAATCGGACAGGTTTCAAATCATGTCTCATGCCCACACTTGAAAAGTCCTGCGCCTTTGCTAGCTTTTATCAGGTAACCTCAGCACATGCAACCCAGGAATCCTCATGGCAGGAGGAAGCCAAAAGGAAGCCGAGTGCTGGGAAGGATTCCAGAAGACTCATATTTCTCTTTTGTATTTCTTTCCCATAAGAGCGGATACTCATTGAAATACTTATTTTCTGTTTCCTTGCAGTGAACACCTACCTCTTCATGATGCAAGCCCAAGGCATCATGATCCGGGAGAACATGAGGACGATAGGAGCTCAGGTCTACGAGCAGGTGGTCCGCAGTGCCTATGCCAAGAGGAACAGCAGTGTGAATGACTCAGGTGTGCCTTTCATAATTGCCACTTTAATCAACGTTTCCCTTTTCCCTGGAAACTTCATGTTGACTTGAACCACGCTCCTTTAAAGGAATTAATTTTTGTTTGTAAATGGGGGATGTGAGCACTAATTGATTTTCTCTATTTATTATTATTTATTCAAATCCTTTTAACTTGTATAAAGGGTAGAAATCTTGAAAGGTCTCAAATGACTGGATATTGAGCCAAAAGTTTGCTTTTGAGGAATTCAGCCTGTTAGCTCCATCCCTATCTGAGGATAAAGACTTTAAAAAACAATTGTGCAAGGGTCTGGCTTTGCATTTTAAAGTGCTCTCACACACTCATGCACGCAACTATAACTTCACTTCCACGGAAGAGCCTCCTCTCATAAGCTCCGCAATTTCCTTGCGAGGCTGAACCGAAATGTCTTGGCTGGAGCTCTGCCACAAGCAATATATTGAACCCCGGCTGGAAGGAAGGGATCAGAGTAACAGGCTCTGACTCCTGACTATTTTCCATGCTACAATGCTAGGAAAAGGTTTACTGGCTTATCTGCATGGTAAGTTTTGGTGTAAACAGGGTATGCGGAAGCATAAATGTGTATGTTTGCATATAAAAGTGCAAGGTATTTCCTTGCGAGGGAGGGCAGGGCAAGCAGGTGTCAAGTTGAGGCACTGTTTGGTTGTGTTTACATGTAACTAGTGAGTCAGGAGCGCCACTGGGCTTTGGTGATGCTAGTGATCGTCAACTGAGCTCTGCGCTTGAGGAGGAACCAGGACAGGTTTTGTCAGTGAAAAGGCAGAAGTTTTTCTGCAATAAAAGAAATACAATATCCCTTCTGCTCGATCTCCCCTCTGGAAAAGTGTCCGTTCCTGGAGCACTGAGTAGATGGTACGGCCATTTTCCCAGTTGAGCTGCACTTTGAGTAGGAAAGGTGAAGAAAGGGTGAATTTCCAAACTTTGCAAGTAAGTTACACCCTGCTTAGTCTTCTCCTCTAGTGCTGAAGTCAGCCAGAGCTACCACTTTTATCTGTTTTAAGGCTGGAAACATCAGCTAAAGGAGACCAGAGGATGTAGCTAGCGGTGAGGGCTGAAGAGGAGGCAGGTCAGCTCCTCTGCTGCTGCTGCTCGAGGCGAGCAAAGCCCCAGGGACCCTCTGAGCCCTGCCGGGCAGCTCTGCCCTCCGCAGAGCTCTGCAAATCTCTCCTGGGTGCAGTGGACAGGGAAATAGTTACCACATTAGCAGCTCTGATACTGTTATTACTGCTACTGAAATAAATGGCTTTGCTCATGCCTCGGATCCATTTCAGTTCTGCAAACTCAGATTTGTACTCACTTCTGTCTGGAAAGCTTGGAGCAGTAAGAACAGTTTTAATGGGCACAAGTCCTGTGTGACATCCTTGTGTGACCTCCCTGGTAAGAGGGCCAAGGAGCACGATGCTGGTCATGACTTTGGGAAGGCATCCTGGTTTTCTAGAGCTTCTTTGCTCAAAAAGCAACCTTCTTGCTGCCTCCTGGAGGTGACAAATGAGGCAATATGCAGCTCCCCAGACACTTCTTGCCTCGTCAGACCCAGTTGTTACCTGGGTCCCTGCTCCGGGCTGGATGCAGCACCTGGGAAACAGGATGCTGCTAAAGCTTCCTGAGCAGCAGCCTCTCCTAAATGTCACGTCTGTCCCCTAGATGTGGCCTAAACAGAGTGGCTCGTGTCACAACGCTGTCCTGCACATGTGCCTCCCTGGCCTTGATTCCTAGGCAAAATGAGAAATGATGCCCAGTGCTGACTGACGAGGTGCTGCTGGTCTGCTACAGTGTGTTTCTACATTTTATTTTATGCCCTTAGCTTTTTCTATAAACTACTACTTTCTTTTAATAACTTTTAAAGTGTTTGATAATGGATGCAATAAGCGATTTTCTCTTCTGAGTGAAGAGGTGTCTCTTTTGTGCTTTAGCAAGCAAAAAGGACAGCACTTACGCATAAAGGTGGAACTGAGGTTTTCTCTGTGTTGTCAGCACATGATAGAGGGCTGAGCAAGTATCAAGAGCTGTATCCTGGTGATTGGAGTTTAATGGGGATCTGGTTCTTGGAATTTAGTTGTAGCTAGCATCCAAGATAACAGCTATTGTATTTGGAAAGCCCTGAGATTCTGTTTGCAAGTCTGTCTTGAGTCTGGCTGAGGAGCTTGGGTGCTGCTCAGTCTAGCAGATTAAAGGTGCTAATGATATGATGCCATGTGCAAGCAACAGAGAGCAAGCTGCAATATCAGGCTTGGTGATGAGTTGTCTTAGTTGATATAAATGAAAGATTTTTGACCTTGCAGGTCAAGAAAACCTTCCCTGCTTTGTTTTAAAATGTTTAAATTATTCCTTCTCTCCCTCGCCCCCCACCTTGAGATAGCATAAAGGCTGTAGTAAAAGAGAATAAAAAAAGGAAAAAAGTCACACTCTAGAGCTATGAAGATCACAATATGTTTATGCAATTACTGAAATGTGCATATCTTAAAGTAAATCTGATATAGATTCTTAGCTCTTAAGGTTAGCTGATACGCTCTTTTCACTACACTGTAAACTGCTCTCGGTGTAAAATACGTGAGACTTCCTTTGTATTGATAACTTTTGAACCTAAGTATATGCTTTAGTTATTTGAAAGGCTGTAACTGCTGTGTTTAAAAAGTGCATTTTACAGAGTTTAGTAAAATAATGTAAAGTGCTGCCTGCCTGCTCCCAGTGTGCCATGTGCCCCAGGTCACCTGCAGCCGTGGCTCAGCTCTTAGATGGCTCTGGGGAGGGGGAAACACGAAACCAGCTTTGTCTGTTGGTGCCTGAATAACAGCTGGTTTGTAGTGTGGTTATAAGAAACCCATATGGCTCTTGCTTTGGGTCAGTCTAGTGAATGTTGTTCTGCTCACAGGTGCTTGTATTAAATGCCCTTTAAGGGTAAGGGGGCTGGGAAGGATCTGGCGAGCTCGACCTCGTGGGTCAGGAGCACAAGGGAGCTGGTCTGTGTCAGGCTTCTGCTATGCCTCTTTTGGGACTCCTTTGGGAATGATGTGTGCTCAGGTCGAGGCTCCTGTCCTTGGTGCCCTGGGATCCAACAGCAAACCCTCCGTGAGGGTTTTGTTCCTCTCAGAGAGCAGAGATGCAGCATCCTCAGCAGTAGCTGATGCACTGCTCCATCAGGCAGGCTTTTCTAGCTCTAACCTGAAGGCTGGGACAGTCTAAACATGTAAAACTGGTGCATTTGGGTGGTGTCGAAAGCAGAAGTTTTGTAGTTTTGTGGTTACCCCAAAACTTCCTTAAATGTCCAGAGGTGTAGCGTGTTACCAGAAGGTAAAAGGAATTGAAAGGATGAGGGCTGTGAGGAAAGGAGCTCATAGGTGCCACTGACCTGCTGGTGGGACCTCCTGGCCCGTGGTGGTGCGGTACGGTGCCAACCAGGTGAACGGCCGTGTGATGTAGCGGGGTGGTTTTTGCTGGTCCTTTGAAGAGACTCGCGAGCAGCAGGACTGCGCTGTGCTGAGCAGGCCGCGCTCCTGACGTCCTGGCACGCGTGCCAGGGGACTGTCCTCCTGCAAGCCCGGGTTAGGACAGGAGCCGCTTGAGGAGCACTTCCCCCTTCGTCTCTGCTGCAGCCCTTTGGGGACAAAGTGTTAAATAACTTTATAACTTTCCGAGGGCCACATGCTCCTTCCGTTTGATCAATTCGCTCGAGGTGAAGCTCCGAGTCCCTGTGGGATGAGGAAAGAGGCCGGCTCTGTGGCAGGGCCCGCTCTGGAGCCCACAGGGCTTCCCCTCACGTCCCAGGGCCCTTTGAGGGTGCAGGGGGAAGCCCAGTCAGGCGGTGGCTGAGACAAGGACCTGCTTGGGGATGCCCGGGTGGCTTTGGGGACGGGGCTGTGTGGGCAGTGACGTGGGGAGGTGGCTGGAGAGAATAAAGACCTGTGCTTCAAGTAGACTCTTTTCTCTTTTTTTTTTATCCAATGAGGACAGAGTTACGGCGCAGCCTGGCACAAAAGGGGCTGGTGGCGGCCGCGTGCCGGGGCCGCGGGTGAGTGTCCCGCGTGGGGACGGAGCTGCTGACGTCTCCGGGGGTCCTGAGAGGCTCCCTTCTATGAGTGAGTAGCTCCGTGCCCCGTCTCCGACATCGCAGCCCTCGTCCTGGCTCGTGTCCAGCCCCCGTCCCAGCTGGGGCCCCTTCAGCACCGGCACGGCTCTTGCATTCCGGGTTTTGGGAGGCCGACGTCTGCGCATAGAGCATCCCCTGCG